TGTGGGTTTCTCAAATAGTGTTAAAAATTCTTACAAAAGTTTCTCAATTTAGATATTTTAATGGGGTTTTAACACTATTTGAGAACCTATAATATTAGGTTGATAATGATGATCCCGGTGGGTCGGGTCTCACTCTCTTTGGCCTTCTCTTAGAAGTCTTCTTCGAAATTTCAACACCCAACAAAGATTTTCATCGGTGCTTCTCTAGAAGTGGGTCATATTCCCACTCGCCCCCTTCGATCTTTGTATCTCCAAAGTGGTTCGTCGAGAGGCTTGTCATTTTAAAAGGAAGAGACGAGCGGCTCGCTGATTCAAGAGGCGAAGAGGATAAACGGCTTGCTGATTCCAGCGGCAGAGAGGATGAACAGCTAGCCGGATTTGAAGAATCAGAAGGAGACAAATAGATTGACTCTATAGAAGAAATGAGGAATCCAAAGAACTCTGAAACACCATAGCCTAATTGAGTCGCCGAAACTAAAGATCGAATAGACCAAAATCGATCCTTAGAAGAAATTGTTAGAGAATACTCAAGAATACAAAGAATGTGGATCAGAATCTTTGAACAATCACTGAAAAACTCATAGGGAGTCGGCGGCCAAGGATGAAGGTGGCGGCGTAAAAAGAACAAGAGGAAAAACCTTAATAACTTAAGCAATAAATAGAGAAAAAAAAGGAGAAAGATGGAGAAGATATATTTTTTGGAGACTTTGTGGAGAAATGAAAGTATGAGTAAGTGAAGGGAAGATTTTCGGCATATATAAGCATTAAAGATTGAAGGATAACGTCATTTGCATCGAGAATCGAAAGAAGATGGAAATCTTTCTAAGTATGGAGCAAGTCATTTCTCCCAGTGGCGCCTATCTGAAGACATCATCTTATGCTCATGAGTCGGTGCATTGTGTTAAATTTTTTATTCTTTTGGACGGTTATAAACGGTGAACTGCTATCTAACGGATAGGTGTCAATTCATCGAGATATCCAAGCATGAATACAGCGACGAGTCGGGGATGTTATTGAACAAATGGATAAGCATTATATCTCTATCTGGCTTGGCATCATGACTCCAGCGGCTTGGCATCACGACAAAAACAGCTCCGCATCATGTCAGAAAACGGCTCGACATCTTTGTCTCCACAATTCGGCGTCATCGTCTTCTGTCATCGTCAAACGGCGAGTCACATAAAAGCTTAGCATAACGTTGCTCCATGAATCAAGACAGCGAGCCGTTGGGAAGAATGACTCGACACTATGCAAACAGAGGATCGCTCCATTCTCAAAGCGTCAAAACAAGATGGTTGATTCTAACTTAACAAGCTTTCTTTACCTCGACACTGTCATTATTGGCACTGCCGAGCTAGAGGGCTAACTGTTGGGGTCAGATTCCTCTCACTGGAACCAACAATCCTGGAAATAACTAAGTGTTGAGTTAATCAAAAAAATGGTTTGACATTAAACTCGCGAGCCGAAGATTAACCGGCCGTCTGCTGGGCCTTTATCATAGTGAATCGATCTGGAGCAGGCCCAAGAGCCATCCGACTTAGAGCTCTCCGCGAATAAAAGAAAATCTCTAAGAAAAAGGAAGTTTATCTTATCGTTTTGGGCTTAGCCCCAACCAACTTAGACTAGTATATATACGATTGTACATTCTCTAAAGGGGATCTGAAATTCATTAGCAAAACACTTGTATTCTGCAACAGCTTTCTTAAACAGCTTAATAAACACCTCTCTTGAGATCTAAACCTTCTAATGGTTTACATAGAACTTTCCAAACCCTAAAAAGTTACTTGACAAATTCTAAATGTGAGATCCGACTTCCACAAAAGGCATAAAAAGTACGTAATGAAAACAATAGGAGTAATCAATTAGACTTTTGGGATCGAATATTTTAAACATCATATATATTTATATAGAGATTTTCTTACTATAAAGATAATTTAGTGGAATTACAGTAATCTATCATAACACGCAATCAAGTCTTGCATATCCTGAAAACAAAGGATCGTAATAAATTATACTTTGAGATCTAAAAATTTCTTGTGTTTACTAGAAAAAAAAAACATCACATATATATCGAGATTATCTTATGGTTCAGTATGCAACCGTAATTTCAAAATACTAAACATTTACAGATTTCGATTTGAAGATAAATTGAAATCAAAACGTTGAGGAATTATTGACGGCGGTACCTATCACTCAAGCGAGAGATGCTCTTTTTTATTTGTCACGAACGCACTTCACTCCTTGATTAACCAAACACGTTCGTATCTGGAAACCAATGCGGAGTAGACGTGCTAACATAAGAAAAAACTAGATTTCGAAGTCGAGCGGTCCGGGCCAGTAGGTCGGCCTTCTCATTCCTCTTCCTGGGGCAGTACTGTAAAGTAAAGTCAGGGAACCACGCTCGAAGTGCCTTGTATTCTTCCAATTCGGTTCTAAAATACGGCCATTTTTCCGGTTCCTATACCATTGCAGCTAGCTCCTGGGAATTCGTGGCGAACAGCACACAATACCGTTGTTTCCGGCGCAGGCTCTGAAGGGCCCATAGTAGACTATGCAGCTCTGTATGTAGGGGAGATATCCCCCGATTCACACAACGTAAGCCTAATAGATCAATCTCCCCATCTTGCAACTGGAGTGTCCATCCGAGCCCACTCGTGGGTTCTCCCTCTTTCCAAGATCCATCAATAAAGCATGTGAAGATGGCCATTGGTAGCGCTAGAACAGAAGGTATTCGTACTCCACATACTACATCTGACGCCTTCTCGTTTGCTAAAAACCAGGCCGCAGCCTCTTTTCGG